GTAGATGAAAAAAAGTTAAAAAATTTAGGCAAGGAAAGCATTATAAAGTTCAAAGAAGAAGTTAAAAATGGTAAAAGAGCAGATTTAACAAAAACAGAGAAATCGGAAGGGTGGGACAAATTAGTTCATATCAAACAGGTACTGCGATTAATAATAATAATTTTGCACTTTATAATGTAACAATTAATAACACATACTCCTTAGGCAAAAATTGTTCGGTCTAAAGATCGAATTGATTCTACAATGCAAAAATTGCGATCGAAAGGTTATGGATTTCTTGAATACACACAACATTCACATGCATTAGCAGCATTGAGATATCTTAACAATAACCCAGATATATTTGGTGAAAAGAGGAGGTTTATTGTAGAATTTGCAATTGAGAACAATATTATTCTTAAAAAACGGACTGGGTTATCAAGGGATGAAAGTAATAATAATTTGAAGAGAAAGGTTAGAAAATTGTTTATTTATTTTGTCATATTATGAAACTATAGTCATACGAAAAAATTCATATATCATACATGTTTTAGGTGGAGATGATTAAATCTGAGGATCAAACTAAAAAGAAAGTAAAAACTTTTCATAAAAGGTCGCCAAAGTCCAGAGTTAATAAAAAAACAACATATAACAGGCGCAAATAAACTATATATTTATTGTGCCTCTGCAAAATACAAAATGAGAGATTGCTTTTAAATAATAGTTCGTTTGTCTTCATTTCAACATTTATTTCGACTATATTTGATAACTGCTTTATAATATGTGGTCAACAAAAGAAAAAAAAAGCTTTTTAACTGTAAAGTTGCTTCGAAGTAAATAAAAAAGTTTATTGTTTATTATTCAAATCTATCCTATTTATAATCATACAAGAAACGATATTGTCAATAAAAATAATAAATAATAAATAATATTAATTAAAATATATTTATATACATTATATATATTTTGTTTTTACTACAATACTAAATAATTTTTGGGTTTCGACTATATTATTTTTACAATACTAACCAATATACTATATTTTTTATTTTGAGGATACTTGGTTTCAGCTAAAAAAAAAAAAAAAAATAGCTTACTTGTCCTAGTCACCACATAGAGGTGTAGGTAAATGTCTCGACAAAGAACTTGCGAAAAACTCAAGTGAGCTGGGAATTTTATCAAACCTCAGTTTTTCAAGCAAAAACCGATTAGATAACCCCTGCCGCTTGTCAGTTTTTTCGCTTTAAAGTTCACGTTGACGATACGTGACCCGCTCGAAAGGAACACGAGAAAAAAAAAAGTCTTGACAAAGGACTCACGAAAACTCAAGTGAGCTGGGAATTTTATCAAACCTCAGTTCCTCGAACAAGAACCGATTAGATAACCCCTGCCGCTTGTCAGTTTTTTGCTTTAAGGTCCATATTGACAAAACGTGACCCGCTCGAAGGAACACGAGAAAAAAGAGGGGTAAAGTAAATAAATATCGAATATAAAATCAAAGCCTTAAAAAATATAATAAAAAATAAAATAAAATAAATAATGTAAAGACTCTGGTTTCGGAGAAGGTTAAACTATCTTTAAAACAACGGGTAAATAAAGTAGATTAGTATAGTATCAAAAGATATAGGGGAAAAAAATAAAACCAAAAAATATATAAAAACTCTGGGGTTTCGGAGAACGTTAAACTATCTTTAAAACAACGAGTAAATAAAGTATTAGTGTGATATTAAAAGATATACGAATATTAAGAGAAAAAAATAAATAAAAAATTATAAAGGCTCTGGTTTCGAAAAACATTAAACTATCTTTAAAACAACGGGTGAATAAAGGATATTAGTGTGGTATCAAAAGATATATGAATATTAAAAGAAAATAAAAGTATTAAAGAGAAAAAGAAAAACAAACGTATGTGAAAAGGCTAGAAAATGAAAAAGTGATTCTTATATACCCTTTTTATGGACGCGTACAAAAACCAGAGACAGAATCACATGTTGATTGGCCACTTTGCGTCAATCAAAACACATGGTAATCGGCCAATCAAGTACGACTGTTGTCCGTCCGTCTACGCGACACTTAAACTAGGGTTGTGAATAGACAGCCATTAGACACCATTAGACATATAAAAAACTATCAATAGACATATATTTGTCTAATGACTTTTTCCCATTAGGCTATGTAAGCTCACAACCCTGCTTAAACCATAGGCTGATTATTTTGCCGGCTTCATCTGCTTATTGCTAGATAAATATGAATTTTTATATAACTTGCATTTTTTAATTGTAAGCTTAAATAAAGAAGGACCTAATATTACAATTTCCTAAAAAACGGTGTCGTCTAAAGCCATGTACCCATGTGACTTTTGTGTAAATCAATCTGCCCGAAGAAGTTAAAAAATAAAGAAAATGCAAAAATATGAAAAACGGCAGTCTAAAAAAATGTCGGGGAGACAATATTACCTATAAATTTGCTCTTTTCTAACCCCACTCTAACGCTAAACTATCTTAAACTATCTCTAATTCTAATTTTAATTAAAATTTCGAAAGTCACGTGGGTACATGGCTTTAGCCATTCCCCTAAAAAACTTTTATAGTTGTCCGGAGCGAAGCGGAGGACTCTGTTTTTACGAGTGATCATCAGTATCACATGATCCTGTCTGTCTGTTATCTTAATGAATAAAAAAACAAAATTAGATTAAGTATATTGTTCTTAGTATCGATTAGTCGTTTCTTTTAAAAAAAAGAAAAATCTTAATTTAATTATGTTCTGTTCTGAATTTTTATTTCACAAATTTCTGACCAAAGTGATCGTATTTCAAGTTCTTTGGTAATTATTTTCCGATATTACATAGTCTTAATACAGTACAATCTCTTAACAGAGATCAAACAAAATTACTTTATACTCACCAGTCGCGTGGTAAATTAACGTGAACATTTTAAGTCATTAGTTAAAAAGTTCCTTATACCTATTATCCAAATTAATACGAATAAATATGAGACACTAAATAAATGTACACAATTTTAGTGAAACCTATTTTTATTATCAAGTTTGGTTTAAATTATTATATATTATTGTTTAACCGAATTGCTTGACTTTTAAAATATGATCAGTTCCATGTTTATTATTGTTGAGCATAATAAACAGGCAATCAGCTTCAAAGTCATATAAGCTTATAAGTCAGCAAAAAATCCGGCTACCATTTTTTCTGGACGACACTTTATAAGTTATTGTTAGCTAAAATATTGTAAAATGCCTAAGCATATGACCTATAAATATAAATTCTATCGTGGTTTTCCAATAAATCAGTGATAGATAAAAAACGCAAAAACTTTGTTGGGAGACACAAAAGAGGTTAACTTAATAATAAAAGATTAGGTTGCGGATATAGTTGTTAGACGAAACCATGTGATGCTAAATGTCACATATCATTATTTAATAAAAACTAGATTAAATTTTTAGGTCTTGGTATTTTATGATAGGTGATGATTATCATCACATGGCTTCGTCTAACAACTATAGTCGCGGACAACCCAAATTTTAAAAATTAACAGTATTACTGTATAATAAACTGCTTTCATAACCGAAAAAGCTTCCGGGAACAAGCAAATTTTAGATTATCCCTGAACTTATGAGAAAAGCTGTGATAATGTATATTCATTCACTTAATTGACTAATGTATCCTTTGCTACGATATAAATATATTGGAATTTATAAAGAATTTAAATCATTTTGTTTACGTATGTTATAGGTGAATACAGAATATTTTAGATTTGTATAAAATGGTTTAATAAATATAATGTTGTAATACGTTATCATTTATGACACAAAATTAGAGCATTTATATTTAAATTTCGTGCTAAGTTACGATAAATCTAGATTTCATTGTAACTTTATCTCGGTAAAGTCAAGTCGTTATATTTTATTGGCTTAAGTTCATTTGCGACATAGGTAGTATCGAAATTTCGATTTATTCTGAAAATCATAAGTAGTCGTGTCGTAATTATTCATCTACTAAAGACTCGACTGATAACTTGTTATCCTACATGTCTGATAATCTTTAATAAGTATTCAGGAAACAATTCAGTTTGATATTCGATAAGTGATTGATTCATTCTCATTTTATGGCTGTAATTATTTGAGCATTTGGATTTGTTTCAGTTTCTAATTTACCCAGTATCGATAAATAACGCAATATTATCCAATATCTTACTATCAATAACTATATAATATGATCATAATTATTTTGTGAATATTAACCAAATCATCAAGAACTTGTCTTGAAATAAGTGGAAATTTTTAGATTGACTATTAGGTTAAGTTACTTTTCGAAATAAAATAATTCATCAAAATAAAGATCGCTTTAAATATATTTCATAACTAATACGATCACCTTAAATATATTTCGTACTACTAATACAATATAATCACGTAAAATTCCGTAACACTTAAGCATTTTTAAGACCCAGAATCCAACTTAAGTGAATTCCGAATCTACAGATATTCGTATCCATTTACACCAATTTACAACATGTATAAGGACTCATAACGTACGTGTGTGAATTGAATAGTTGGGACAATGAATGCGTAATTTATCATCAATTATGTTTTTGAATTATATCAAATTCTCGCTTAAGTTATATGGAAAGAAAATTTTCAATGGGTAATCTTATCCATAAATTCACGGGTCCAACTTCTGATCGACTTTAAACTTGAGCCGGGTCGGACTTCTAACATATTGAACGTATTTTTGATGATAACGATAATGCTCTCAATTTTATAAGGGCACACTTTTTATGTCAAATACTACGTAACATAGATTGCATAATACTTTGTTTACATTAAATTTACGAACAAACAAACAAACAAACAAGTCGTTTCCCTGCATACTATAACCGATAGTATATTCATTCTTACTACGTATAATCGACATCTTGCATTTTCGTACCAAATATGGATGATATACATGAGAACGATGCATTTTTGGAGACAACATTCAGGCCAAGGTATAGCACGCCTTAACTATACAACTAATATAATTACTGACGCATATATTGTTTCAGAGATTGGGTGATCCAAAAAATTGAATCAATGGTCGAAAAACTATTATCGAGTATAGCAAACGGAACCCCACCAGTACTTCAAACTGTGTCAAATGTAAAAAGAAGAGAATGTCATACCGAGTAAAATTAAAAAAAAAAAATTGTTTTTTTTAACATGCTTAGTTTGCGTTTGAATTTTGACTGTGCAATACTATTTATTGTATAGATATGATGTACAAAGTGGTACACTTCGAAGAAAAAGTATCAACTTTAAAGATGTTTCGTTCTTAAAAAATCCGAGAGGATTTGCCATCATTATTCGAATACTTGATATATGTCATGAACTTCTCATCCAAGATGTGACGGCTACAAAAAGGTATAACAATGTGAATTAATAACATTAATTCGGTCATATTAACATATTTTATTCTAATTAAATACATTAGAGACATATATTACAAAGATGTTCGACTGTTCGGCAATCAGCACACCGTTGACGCGGTATTTATTTTTAATTTTAAATGTCGTACCTTTACATATTAAGCTTGCTATTATCCTTAGGCAATAGATGAATTGGCTTGCCTCTTTCGTGTTCCGCGGGCTTGTTTGAATGTGGTAAGAATCTATAA